GGGGCGCCCCGACGTTTACCTTTTTGTCCTGGTTTCTCTTCAGTGATGGAAGAAAAACTGTTCGTCATCTCCGGGCTGTGTTCTGGGGCGACAGGAAGCGGGGACAGGGCTGAGGGGACCCAGGGTGACGCGTCCGGCTAGGGAGTCTCCAGACCACCCCCCCACACACACACACACGAACCCCCGGGGCCTCTGGCCTCAGTTTCCCCATCTGCCCGCTGAGCTTGGCTTCCCTGAGCCTCAGTTTCCCCGTCTGAGTTGGCTGGGAGGGTGGCAGGGCTGTTCTAGAAGACGGCCTCAACCCGTGGCTACCCGGCCGGGCGCGGAGGCTCAGGCCTGTCGTCCCGGCGCTCGGGAGGCCGAGGAGGGAGGATCGCTCGAGGTCAGGAGTTGGAGGCCGGCCTGAGCAAGAGCGAGACCCCGTCTCTACTAAAAATAGAAATTAATCGGACAACTAAAAAAATATATATATAAAAAAAATGAGCCGGGCGTGGAGGCGCATGCCTGGAGTCCCAGCTACTCGGGAGGGAGGCCGAGGCGGGAGGCTCGCTCGAGGCCAGGAGTTCAAAATCAGCCTGAGCAAGAGGGAGATCCTGTCTTTACTCAAAATAGAAATTAATTGGACAACTAAAAATAGAAAAGAAAAACGAGCCGGCGTGGAGGCGCATGCCTGGAGTCCCAGCTACTCGGGAGGGAGGCTGAGGCAGGAGGATCGCTCGAGGCCAGGAGTTCGAGGCCGGCCTGAGCCAGAGCGAGACCTCGTCTCTACTAGAAAAAAATAGAAAGAAATTAATTGGACAACTAAAAATATACAGAAAATAAAACGAGCCGGGCGTGGTGGCGCATGCCTGTCGTCCCAGCTACTCGGGAGGGAGGCCGAGGCAGGAGGCTCGCTGGAGGCCAGGAGTTGGAGGCCGCCGTGAGCGAGGCCGACGCCACGGCACTCCAGCCCGGGCGACAGAGTTGGGCCTTTTGTTCCCAGCCTTCAGCCTGTTCCTTGGAGTAGAGGCCCAGGACCATTTCGCAGATGGATATTCTGAGGCTCAGGGAGGCCAAAGACCCCAGCCTCGGACTCCTGCCCGGGCCTCCCCTTTAAGGCTGGGATTGGGGGACCCCAAAGACGCCCCCCGTCAGGACCTCAGGAAGCTCCCGCTGCCCCTCCACGGTGACAAGCGACGTTTCCGACAGGCCTGGTACAACCGAGGCCAGGGGGGCTGGCTCAGGACGGGGGCCCCACTTGGGCCCCGAGGGACTGGCGGGTCCCCTTCCCGGTGCCGCCCCTGGGGCCCCGCTCTGTGTTTGGTTTATGAGACCGAGTCTCGCTCTGTCGCCCGGGCCGGAGTGAGCGCCGCGGCGTCAGCCTCGCTCACAGCAGCCTCCACCTCCTGGCCTC